CTGCGGGACCCCGCGCCCTGGCGAAGCAGCCGGGCCCAGGGAACCCCTCGCAGCCTTCGGTTCCGAACACCCCCCTCCCCTCCCCATCGAGGTTAATGAGGAGGAATGTGCCGCAGTAAATTCAATTAATACTTTATTTCAGGCTTACTCGGAGCCGTCTAGACAGCTTCCTGATCGAGAGTGGTCTGTAGGACCCGGGTAATGTTTTGGCCGCTGTTCCCGTAGTGCAGTTACATTTGTATGGTCTCCAAGTGAAAGGATGCAAATAAGGTTGTCTCACACATCTGGTGGAAAACACAAAGCTCGGTACTATTTAAGTCAGAAGCAGCTCACCAGACTTAAAATCTCGTGAGACAGAGTGGATGGGGGAGAAAAGTAAAATATCAGTTATAAAGTGGAACTCTGTTGAACTGAAAGTAAGGGGATAATCTCCGGCCGAATTTACTGCCGAGACAATAGGGCCGGATTCTGGCACTTGGAAGGAAAAGGACGGGAAGCAGGAGGAGCCCAGCCCGAGGGGCTGTAGCACTTGGCCTATTTGTGCCCTGAAGTTACCAAATCTTCCCCCGGCCCCTGCCTTTAGTTTTACTGTACTGCTCTGGCTACTAGAGTTAATACTTGATTTAACATGGGGTTTAGCTTTGCTGAAATATTTTCAGAGTATAGTGGGCTTGACTTTAACAACACTAGCATCTCTGGTAGAACAAAATAACAAAGGCACTTTGTCATGTTTTCTTGTCTTCAAAAATGCTGAAGTGCCATCGTAAAAAGTAGCAAGTTGTGGCATGGGGCAGGGGCTGTGGTGCTGGGGACAGGAGCCTGGTTTGGTTTGAGTCCGACCTTGAAGAATTGGAAAGTGGTGGTTTTGGGTACCAGGACAATGCAAACCCAGCATTGTTCATCGTAAAAGGGTTTTTGTCCTCCTGGTGAAGAAGCATCTGGCTTTCCCAAGTAGCACATGCCAGACTTGCACCCAGCTGTTTTTCTATGGGCACACCTTGTAGTGTGTGCAAACTGGGTTTATGTGCATACCTTAGGGTTGCAATCAAAGGTGAAGGCAAGGTTTAGGTCGGAGCTTGACAAGCTGGATCCAGAGTAAAGTTAACCCCATGCTGAAAGGACTTGTTCACTAAATCACCGATGGCCCCTTGGTGTCCTCTGAGCCCCACTGAAAGTATCCCTAATGCCGTGAACTTAAAGTTCCAAGCTAGCTCCCAAAAGCCAACATTATTTCTCAAAAGTTGTTGAAGGTGCAGTTTTGCATGTGTGCATTCTGTACAGAAGCAATTCAGCAGTTTTCTGTAGATGCTGCCTTTGGTTCTGACTTCTGCTGGAGAATATGTGTGCCGGAAGAGATTTCCTGAAACTTCTCCTAAAAATAAAGTTTATGGAATTCCTGGCATATTTTCCATTTTGCAATTTGCATTAATTCATAAAGGTAAATACACTTATTTCAACAAAAAAAAAAAACCTTTGATGACTCCTGCAGGCAAAATGAGTGGAATGTGATATAGATGGAAAATACTCTTATCTGCAGGAAACAACTATTGCCCCACGGATAAAATCAGTAATGCTGATTATCTTGTTGTTTCAGGAGGACAAAAAATGTTTCATATGTGACTCCGAGGATCCCTTCCATGATAGTCTCAATCCTGACAGTCATCGTATTGAAAATGTTGTCACCACCTTCGCTCCAAACCGCCTGAAGCTCTGGTGGCAGTCGGAAAATGGTATGGGTTTTGTCAGGGAACCATTTCCAGGACAGGGAGCGGCTTTCCCTCCTTTTGTGTAAGGGTACCTGTGGGTTTGCTGTTATCTCTGGCCTGGTGATTACTGCCAAGGGAAGGATCATGCTGTTGGAGGAGGGCTGACTGAAACTGGCTGCTTTTGTGTGCCACCGAGCGGTTCTTAATCCATAATGAAGCCCCCTCAGCCCTCTGGGAGTGTTGAAAAGAGCCGTCCCACCACTTTGCAAGAATCTTTTCCTAAATAGAGAAGTTTCCCACACTGGCTCCAGCTCTCCTTCGTGTTTGGGCAGCAGGAGCAGAGCAGCCTTCCAGGAGTGAGTATCCTGGGACAGTGCTGCCAGGGAAGCGCTGCAGGGCTTCCCCATGCCGCTGGGCTGGAGGGAGCCTGTGGAAGGAGGAGGTTTAGGCACAGAGCCGGGGGCTGCAGCCCTGCCTGCAGACCTCCTGTTTCCCTGTCCTACCCCAGGAGAGCAAAGCTAGGGATATCTCTTACTCTGCAAACTGCCTTCTCCCTCCTGGGCTCCCTGAATTCCTGTATCCATATGCCAAACAGTAAAATGAACACCAGAAACAATCCAGCTAGTTAAAAAAAAATATAGCATACTAGTTTGGTGATTTATTTTTTTTTCATCCTTCCTCTGTCCTTTTTACTTTTATGGTTATACTTTTGGCATGCCTTCATACACAGAACAAGGCACTGAGGTTTCTGAAACAGCAGTCCTACCCTGAAGCCTTAAAGCCAGCTGGACAGTATAGGATTTCTGCAAAAGGATTGGCAGTAGCTGTCTTACTCTATAAGAAAATAAAATGATAGCATTTGTAACATTTCTGCTGCCTGGTGGAGGAAGGTTTTCACAAAATCCTTTTTAACCATTTAGATCAGTTTAGCAAGCCTCTTGTCTCCAGCAGCTCTCTTCTAGTGTTCCAAATAATTCATGTTTTTTGCAACAAGCTTGGCAGCATTCACACAGAAAAGTTCTTAGCTCATAAGGTCATGAAAATGTCCTTCAACAATAAAAAACAAATGATTCCTTCTGTTCAATTCATGTTTTCTTCTATTCAGGCATACAGCAGAAGGGACCATTGCTGCACACTCCACATAATGTTGCAGCTGGATGAAAATTTAAGCTCTTTATTGGTTTATTATTGTCATTTCTTACCCTTTCTCCTCTTTGTAAATCCTGATTTTTTTTTTTTTAAATTTCTAACTACAGTGTATTAAGTATCCAGCTGTTTTGAGAGGTCTTTTCACATGACAAAATAATATTTGTAACTGGGTTTCTTCCTTTCTGCATAGAGTCCTTGACTGTAGGTAGTCATACAGCAGAATTTGGAAAACCTTTTGCTTCTCACCAGTTTCCTACCCCTCATGAGTGCAATGCAGGGTTATGATAGTTGCTTAGGGAGTGTTTCAAAACCAGGTTGTAAAGGGACTGTTCCTATGTCTGGGTGGACAGGAGGGCCCAGAACGAGTGAAGAAAGGTAGGAAACAGCCCTTACCAGCCATTGGTGAGGTCTGGGCTGTTAGGGCTGCAGAAGCCCCTGCCTCTGTTGCTGCCAGACAGGCTGCAGCATGTGAGGACAGCCTGGGGTCACCACACAGGTCTGGTCTCAGCATCCCCAGTTGAACCAGCCACTGGGTGCTTTGGTGCCAGGATCCAGCCCATAGCAGTCCCTATCCTTACCCTACATCTAGTGATGTTAGCCATGTTACAGAGGCTGAAATAACAGCAGTGCAGGCTCATGCTTTGGGTGTAACGTGTTTGGTGCAGATGATGCACAGGAATCCCATGTGTGATACACTCTTCAGCAGTTCCTTGGTGTCTCCCATGTACCTCAGTAATGCACTAACCCTCATATCCTTTTTTTGACGACAGAGCCAAATGGCAAACTCTCTGCACCACTCAAGTGAAGAACTTTGGGAAAATTCAGATGTAGAGGCTAGTGGGTGTCCTTGTTTGCTGCATGACTCCTTTTCTCTGCCCCTACAGGTTTGGAAAATGTGACTATCCAGCTGAACCTGGAGGCTGAGTTTCATTTCACTCATCTCATTATGACCTTCAAGGTAAGGAAGCCACAGCCTTACCCGGAACCCTAAGACAAGAAATGAGAGGTTTCATAGTCCTTCACATCTATGGGATATTTGGGATTTGGCCTTTGTCTGAGCTGCTCTGCCTGATTTTTTAGAGCGGCAAACCATTAACCCCTGCTGAAGTCATGCAGGATGGCTGAGTTGTGACTTGAGGCATGAGTTGTGTTTGAACTCTGGTGAGGCTGCAGAAGGAGTCATAGTGAAGTTGAGGTTTATGTTGGTGTCACTCTCTAGTGTTTGTGTTCTAGGAGATCATTAGATAAATCATAAAGTAGCAAGGATTTTTATTCTTAAAAAAAAAGTTGGCCATGGTACTGGTTTTCATTTGGCAAATGGAGAGGTCTTAAGGAAGAAAGAACATCTGTACACAAAGTGTCTTTGTTTCTTTACAAACAGATGTCTTGGAATGGCAGATTATGTCCCGTACATCTTAAATCACAGGCAAGCACTAATAGAAACCTTCAGCTGAGGTATCAGAGGCTGCAGTTTCTGCAGGGCTAAATCCCTGCTCTTCGCATGTAGACAAATTAATCTCTTCATTTCTACTTGTCAGAGAGCTGGTTCCTCTTTCCTGTGGCATTAGCTTATGTTTCTCCCCCTGCATCAGCGTGGTGGCTGAGGTGGAAGGTGGTCCTTTCTGCTGGACCCCAGCAGTAAGGGACCCCCAAGAGACCCCTGATTTGATGCCAGTTGTGCCCCAGTGGGCACAATGGGCTTCATCTGCCATCAGGAGGAAGACTATGGCAGAA